CCATTTCCTTCCTTAATTACGTTACATACATATGCCATCATCAAAGAATCTACTCAATCCCCTCTCACTCGCTCCCTCACAGCACAATAAATTCCAGATGGTAATGCGCCCATGTCTATTGTGAATTGTGCAGCATTGGACAGCTGTCGTCGCAGTGCTGAACTGAAGTGCAATTTGAGCTGCTGCACAGTTGCCCGACTTCAGACACAGTATCTGTGAGTGACCAGAGTCGCAGGGTTGGCCCGTGACTCATGTCGGGTAAATCAACGTGAATGAAGCATGCGTAAGTCATATCGCAATAATATTCGCCAGACAGCCCTAGGCATTGTCAGGCAAACAAAAAAGAAGAAGAATGAGAGAGAGAGAGAGAGAGAGAGAGAAAAAACTGTCACTCAGTGAGTTCTAAGCCAGGCTTAAGTGCTGCAGCTCGCGGCCCCGCAGCCACGCTCCAACGGGGGTAGGCGTAAACTGTCTAAGCAAATGGCATTTGCCAAGGAAGTTATAAATTTGCTGCCAAAATAGAATTGTGTTGAGCCAAAGACCAAAAGCCGAAGCCAAAAGGATGAACGCGGGCGGGCAGACATCAACTGGGAGAGAGGGGACGAAGTGGGTCTAGCAAGGAGGGGGCAGTTTCTACGACTTGCAGTTGCATTTGCCGCAAAGCGTTCATTAAAGTCAAAGTCCCACAAACTTACGACAACGGCAAACGGCAACAACACAGCATGAGGTAAGGCTGCTGCAACAGTACAAAAGATGACGGAGTATTTGATACCCTGTGAAAGCTGAGGCTTTGAAATGAATCGGAGTTTTAAGAGTTCTAGCTCTAGCCAACATCTCTGATATATGTGCCAAAGCTAAAACTGTTTTATCGATATCAAGATTATCGATATCGCATGATTTATATCGGAATACACAGTCTTTACATATATTTCTATAGGAATATAAATTCCACGATGGGATTCAGAATCGTATTAATAATATTTATCGACTTGAAACAAATATCGATAAACTACATTATCGCTTATATATATGGACATATACATATATAATAATATGATTTCAAGATTTTACACCAGAAATTGTAGCTACATTACTCAAGTTTACATTAACAGATCTATTTTTCTATGCCAGTTCAAGCATTACAACTGCTGCGCTTTTACAGGGTATTAAGTACCTGAACTGCATCTGTTGTGGGCTTCATTGAGAAAAAACCTTTTGGGACGTGCGTGCACAATGATCGCTTGCAAGTTTTACGACCTTCTGCAACGCCCACAACGCTGCCAGAAGTGCGTACACTGAGAGAAATGCAGCTGTGGCTTTTCGCGCAGCAATTAGAGTAGAGCTGCCAGAGCCGACAGACGTCAACAGAACAAACCAAAAATAAAATGCAAAAAAAAAAAATAAATAAGAACAAGCTGGCAAACGCCGACTCACGGCCCACACACGTCATGTCTCGAGGTACTGCAAGTACCTAAAGTAGGTAGATCCGAGAGAGAAACTCAGAGAGAGAAAGAGAGAGAGAGAGGGAGGGAAAGCGTATAAGAGCGAGAGAGCTTTGCTGCAATTAGAAGTTCGCTTTGGGTGAGGTAATACTGGAGTGTGTAGTGCTCAATGGGAATTAATAATAAACATGCATACATATGCATGTGTATGTATGTGTGTAAGTAGAGTTCGCCTCCAGAGTCACACAATGAACCGCATTGAACCGAACCGCGTTCTGATTATGCGTCAATTTTCTTGAACTTTTTTGTCAATTAGCTTCATTAACTGAATTGGGCAACGGAAATGGAAGGCGCAACTAACTATCTTGACCTCTTGGATCAAGGCGCAGCCAACGGCGCACAGTGGAATTTATCTATAAAGTCGCCGGACTTATCTGGCTCCGCTGGCCTTGCCGGCGTTATCACAGCCAAGCGAACAAATCTTATCGAACACACAAAATAAATATACATACATACGCAGATGGTACATATATATAGAGATACTGCGCATATATAGAGTGTGAGTAATATTGATAATCTATTAGTTATTATATATTTCCTGCATAGAAATTCCCAATGTTTAACGAAAATAGAATGAAGAATGAATCTAGCAGAGAGAGAGTCTAGGTTCTTGAGATATAGTTGCTATAACGATAAATGTATGTATAAAAAAGGAGTTTTATAATGAATGAGTATTATATGAACGTTTAATCTAAGAATAGCGCGATCGATAGCGATCGATTTGTAGGTAGTCACAATATATTTATGCATATATAAATTTCTCCAATTTCAGATAAGATAAGCAGATCTAAATCCAAAAGTTTCTCTAATTTATGTTAAAATATGCTCAAAGAGCTCTGGCACCATGTCTGAGACAATAGAAGTAATTAGCGACATGATATATTAGAATCTGGTTTGCTTTGATATTGCGTATGTCAAATAACTCAAATCTATTTATTTTCTAATTGATTAAACTTCTAACAATTGTAACAGGGTATGACAAAAGGGGGCACAGCCGCAGCGACGAAAAAGGTTTCTTTCTCAGATCACAATCAGAAACAGAGCAATAATATCAAATGAACTGCAAGACTCAAAAGACCTGAGAGTCGAGTCGAGACTCCCGTGGTGTTTGCGGTTTGACAGCAGCCGTTAAAGGTATTGTCCTCCTTAACAGCACATCTCGCGATCTTTCTCTCTCTCTCTCTCTCACTCTCTCTCTCTCTCTCTCTCTCGCTCTTTCACGCTCGTATCTATTTGTGTGTTTGTTTATAAAAGGTGAGGAAAAGTGCCGAGTCTGACTTTGTCTTGACCTGCCCAGGGGCTCTGTGCATGCGCGACTCTCTGTCAGCGAGCACTTGTGTCAACAAGTCGAACAGCAACAGACAAATTTTCTATTTGACTTTCAGTTTTTTTCTTTCGTTTTTTTGGAAGTAACAAATAGAAAACCCCCTCTGCGGCCCCTATTTAGAGAGTGACATTTGATAGCACAAGCGGTCAAATGTTGTCCAAGCAACAGGGCAACGATATCAATTTTCTATTTCCACAAATATATATACATACATATATGTAAATAAGTATATATAGAAATACTTGACTATCTGTTAAGTGGAAGGCAGACAAGTGTCTGAGCACACTATTTGTGTGTGTGTGTGTGTGTGTGTGTGTGTGGGTTATTGCCTTAAGTCTGCTAATGCAATGAAATTCGATTTAAAAAATGCATATTTAGACTTGACTAACTTTGTGGGCATTAATTGAAGGCCATGAAAATCGAAGAGAAAGGCGATACGCTAAAATTAGGCCTAGGCTGTAAAAAAGTGACTGATTGCCTCTGCTAGTCAGTGAGTGAAAAAGAGAAAGAGAGAGAGAGAGAGAGAAATGTAATGCGAAGAGTGAGATAGAGAGAGTACCACTTTAATTGCCTTTCCAAAAAATAATTGATTTAACTCTGTTAAACCAGAGAACGTACATACGTATCTTAGACAATCCAATTAAAACAGTAAATTCTATAAACGATAATTGCAGACTATGAAAATCGAGTAACAATTCGTTTTATTATCTTGTATTACTTCGTTAAAAATTAGCTTCTTTGCTAATCAATAAACTTGGTCTATATGATAAAGCTGGAAGACTGTGAGACTATCGAAAATAGATCGAATAACCGGAGGACTTTAACTGGAGAACATATGTGAGAGAGATGGAAAGAGTCTTCATGTAATTTGTGAATGACTGATTGCCAAAAGAGAGAAACCCCAAGCTCACCTATTCGTAATCATTACGCACTAACAGTGTCACTTATAGCACACTGTTAAACCGCATTCACACACACATACACCCACACCGACAGAGAAATGCTAACTAACATTCCCTTTGTGAGCGACCGCCAGCTTGTACTGTTATCTAAGAGCGCAAAAAATTGTCATTAAGCGCAGCCGAACGAGCGTCGTAGTCGGTCGTATTTATATAAATTATGATTGTGTGACTAATGCACAATTGAATTATTGTTGGGCGAGAGACTGGCGGACGCACCCCACCCACCTCTTGGCACCTTTTCAAGTCGCCCTCATTTGATTTGCAACAAAGACAAACAGCACGCGCTCTCAAAATGTTACCTTTATAACGGGGTCATAATTAAGACGCAGGCGATTAACATAAAATGGCAAAAAGAGGGGAAAAAGAAAAGACCAACAATATTTCAATTGCTCTCGGCTGGGTGGCTCAAACGCAATTTGGGTCAAAAATTTTGAGGCAACAAAAATTATGTATTATCATTAAATTTCATTACAAGCGGCGCACGAATCGAGAAAAATGCAAAAAAAGAAAAAAATAAACGAAAAACAGCGCAAAAATCATGGAACTGGAAACCGTTACAGCAAAACGCACTTCAACTCAAGTGTACAGTTATAGTGACGACGACGCCAGCGACGACTGCAGCCAACAAAAACAAAGCCAGGCCTCTGTCTACCTTTGCTCTCCTCTGTAAATGTATGTGCTTGCGCGTGTGTTAGTGTCTGCCATTTTTGGGCAGAGGGAGACAGACAATCGAAATGCTAAAACATGCGAAAATGCGTACGCCTACCTCCCCAGACAGAACCTTGCCACACGCCACACCAAAGATGAGCGAGTGCTGCACAGTCGGATTAAGCGCAGAAAAAAAAGCTAGCCTAATCGCCAATTTTGCATACTTCCCAAGCTAGAATCGGCTATGGGCAATACGGCTTATGTCACACTTTAATGTCTGATCTGCCCATCTCTTACCATATAAACTCTAGCTCTGGCTATTTTTGGCTTAGAGCTAACTCAGTCGACCCTCTAAGAAAAAAGGCTAGATTTGGCAATAAGTGCCGCTGACAACACTGCACTGATTGGAATGCATATAACGGCTCATGTCACATGCTCATCTCTGACAGTGCAGTCCTGCTGCGCTGAGTCATCAAAGTGATGATAATTATGATGCGGATGATGATCATGGACGCAAGTGATTGGTGGCAGGTTCAACGAACTATGTGGCAACGTACTTACCAAAAAAGTCCTCCCAGGTGTCCGAATCGGATTCCATCTTGGCTACTGCTGCTGGTGCTGGTGCTGCTGCTTCTGCTGCTGCTCCTGTTGCAGTTGATTTATGTTCGCAATGCCTTGTTTGGTATTTGGTCAGTGTCCAAATTTAGCCAAAGATTGCGTGGCTGGTTTTATTCTCTCTTTCTATTCTTCTCTTTTCTTCTATTGGCTGGTTTTGGGTGTTTTATAGGTGCTTAGATATCCTATCTAGCTGTCCATAGACTCTTTTGCTTAGTCGCTGCGCAAATGACTTCACCCGGCATTGCTTTAGTCCAAAGCAAAAAGCTACTTCAATCAATGGTCTACCGATAAGATAAACACACACACTCACACACACACGCGGTCGCAAATATAAGAGTTTTACACTGTGCAAAACGTCTTTGGTTTCTATCTTATCTGCTGCTGCTATGCGGAGCAGAGCAAATACCTAATAAGTACGCAATTTAGACTTTAGGTGCACTGCAACAGCTGTTATACAAAAATACAAACAAACGCACACAGCCACAGGCAGACATGCACACACACATTCGCGCACACTTAACTGTTCAAATCAAATCAAATCCACTTGTAGAATTCTCAGAATTTCGCGTATGACTAAACCGGCTATGAACTTTGCCTGGCCACATGCATATTTTCAATATTGAAAACTGTGTTGTTGCTGTTATTGGTTGTTGTTGTTGTTTGGATGGACAGGTAAAAAACTCTTGGTATAACAAAAAATTAAGCTAATTGGCAAAATATCAAATATGAAGATGCACTTGGAATTAACGCGCTTCGCTGACTTTCCAGTTTCACCTTCGCACCGTTATTTTTAATTGTGGAAAACACTCTCGCACACAGCAACAAAACGCTTCCAAGTGTCGCACGCACGCGCGCTAAGCCACGAAGACGACGGCAACGGCGATCATACCGAACGACTGCTTCATCGACTCACCCACACGACGTTTCGAAGTGAACTGAATTCGCGTTTTTGGAGCCGACGGAATTCGATAGACTCTTATACGAGTTTATAAGTTCTAAGGCGCTCGGCTTAACGGCCGCTCTTTATAGTTTCTCTTGTTGATTAATTTCTGATTTGTATACCAATTGAAACTCTTAATGTTGCCTCTTACTGTTATTTACCTTTGTTTGTTCAGTGGTTTGTTTAATAAGAGTTTTAATTTTAATATTGCAATTATTGTACTCAAATGGTATTGTTATGATCGAATCTGATCTGTTACTGGCAGCACTGTTAACAGTGTCTGTTATTGATGGCCGTTACAAAAATCGTATGTTAAACTCAAAATGGTTCTGCTATACAATTATTTAATGAATTTTTCCAATTCGAGCATTGTTATTGTTATCCTTCAACCCATTGTGCCACATACATTATATATTATATAGATATACATTCATGTGATAACAAATTCGTATACATGCATTTAATATATAATACTTTTGTGCGCTTTGGTACAAATTTAAGCTAGACAGCAATTTTCACACAGGTTCCAGTAAGAAATCACAATCCAGGCAAAGTAAATTTCCACTGAAATTCAAAGAAACGAAAATAAATATATAAGTTTTTCATTTTATCGTTATGCCGTATCTAAACGTGCCCAAAATAAAGAAGAATCCTATGATGCCGAGTAATATTGCGCCATCAACAGCCATTATCCATATGCACAGGACAAGTGCGAGAATAAGCGATACGCATACAATATAAAAGGACAGCAGCACGAAAAAGCAGTTATGCTGCAATAAATAATCATTTTCATTACAGTCATATATTTTTTAATCAAAAACTTACAAATGCAACACCTAAAAGTAGGAGTATTTTGGCTATTAAATATACGAATAGAAATATTATTGCCAAAATTGCCCATACTAATACTAGATGTACAAGTCTCGCAATGGCAATAACAAGACCAATAATGGCAAATATAACGCCCGATACTCCAATACTTATACATCCGCTATAAAGCGAAATACAGCAGAGAAACCCACTTTTGGAATAACACATTTTAAACAAAATTACATCACATAAAATTTCGAATTCAATTTTATTTGAATGTTGGCGGGCAGCCAGCTGTTCAATCAAATTGTCAGATAGCTATCGTACATTTTGCGATGTTGTGCATATCGAGCCCAAATGGTTGTATATACTCGATAGTTGGGTGACCATGCCAAGTACATATCGATACCATTAACTATCAACTACTCGATCATTTGTAAGCAATGGACAACAATGAAAATAAGGACAATTTATGCCCGCCAGCTACGAAAAAGATAAAAATTGACAATTTTGGCATAAAAGCAATACTCTCCGATGACTACAAAAAGGACATAGAGCTGATGCAGGTGCACAGCTGTCAATTGGAGAGTAAACAACAGCTGCAGGCAGTCATCAAAGAACTCGCCCTGAAGCTGCCACATTTCCAGCATTTGAAGCGCGTTCATGACAGAAATGTCTTAATATGTCCATCAGATGATATTAAAGAGTCGCTGGAGCAGCACTTGAAGCTACATCAGATCTCCGATAATGTTTTGGAGGCCCTCTGTCGCAATGTGAATGTGATCGAAGTGCCTGCCAGTTCGGCCAAGCTGCGTGTGCAATACGAAAAAATGAGCAAATATTGGCCATGCAAATTTCACCCGGATAAATATGCCGAATCCTTGCAGAATGGCAGTAATTTTACAGACAGTCAAAGGGCGTACCACAAGCGCATGGCCGAGCTGCTCTGGAAGCTATCGACGGATGTGAGCAAGGGACAAAACGTGGGCATTTGTGTAGATCCACGAAGGCCAAGCATTGTGGCCATAGCAGGTGAGGAAGTGAAGCCAAGTCACTGATAGCTTGATCTTCAGCGGTTTCTTTCGCAGCTGCAGGCGACGGCAACAGTCATCAGCATTGCGTAATGTGGCTGGTGGATCATGTAGCGCGCAGTCAACGTGGCGGCGCCTGGCAATCGGATGTGGAGTTCGTTAAAGACGAACCACACACAAAGAGCACCTTGAGTGGCTTACCACAAATCTTTTACGACTATCTAAAGCAAGACACAGCTTGCCAGGATTTAAACCTGGGTGCTGAGCTGCCCAGGAGAGAGGAGCACCAGCAGCAGTCAGAGCCAGTTGTTGAGGATATTCATGCTGATAATCTATGCAAATATGGACCTTACCTGTGCACCGGCTACGATGTCTACTTGCTGCGTGAGCCCTGTCTGATGTGCTCCATGGCGCTGGTGCATAGCCGCGTCAAGCGCATCTTCTTCCTCGAGCAGTCCGAGAATGGCGCACTTACCAGCAAATTCCAATTGCACGCAGTCAAGGAACTGAATCATCACTACGAAGTTTTCCAATTTACGATGTGACAAAACTGCTTCAACAAAAACTTTTGATTCTTTTACTAGTTTAATGCAGTGAATAGATATTTTGTGTAGATCTTTAGAGCAACGTCTCGATTCGTGGTGCGTTGAATTCCACTCGTGGGTTCGATTGACGCGTGGGCGTGTTGATCAGTCCCAGCAGCTGGCAATCAGCCTCAAGTAGAGTTATATCCTTGCTGGAGCCGAGGAATCGAGTAGATAGCTCTAGATCCTTGACGCGCAGACGAACGCGTGCGCCGCGCACATAGTCGCTAGACAAACAGAATTTTATAACGATTTAAGCATAAATAAAACACATGATATACATATGCATATAAATTAGTATTTTGTCTCACCTGCCATTCCTCGCTGGTCGCGTGCACACACAGTGAAACTTCCAGCCGAAATCTATATACAAGTCATCGCCGACAACGTGAAAGATTTTACCACTGACGACTTTGCCTTCCGGATCGCCCAGCTACAAACATTAACGAGATTACATAAACATCAACTGGAATATCCAAATGCTACCTACATCAATGAACTTGGAGTTGCGCAGCAGTGAGGCAAAGCTCTGATTGTCCACGGGCTCGGGCTCCGGCTCTGCTGGCGCCGTATATCTCTCAAAGGCACGCGCGAATCCTCCTTTGGCCCTATTTTCTTCCGGCTGTGTCTCGATCACATTTTTATCGCTCGTCGTCGCTCCTTCAGTGCTGAACAAGCGCTGTGTGCCGGATAGCTGGCGGCTCCAATTGCAAACATTCGCTTGCAGTGTATAGGTGCTTAATTTACGCAGCAGCGACATGTTTTTTATTTATAAATTAGAAAAATAATAAAAATTACTACACAGATAATGCTGCTAGCTCAGCCGATAGAATAAAAACCCCAGTCATCGACCCGCCGCCACTTGCAGCCAAAAAACAGCTGACATCCCAATTCATTTTATCGATAAGCAGACTATTATCGTTACGAATTACAAAACACGCTGTCTAGCCGGGCAGCATATTACTATTTTATACACATCATATATTACGAAATCAGCAGTTGCAGTTGCAGACTTATATCCATAATTAATAATAATGATACAACAACAACGCCAACGTGTAGAGTCAGCCGTGACCGAGCTCATCGATGACATGGACAAGTCGCATTTGCGCAAAATGCAGGTACGTACTCCAATATGAATCCAATTGGAAATGCACTCATAGATGTTTTCCTGCTCTTTCTAACAGACGGACATGCATCTGTGCGCGGCAAAGTGCTGCCAGGACGGGACCTCAAGCGTGGACAGCGTGCAGCGCTGCGTCGATCGCTGCTCGGCGCCCATGACAAGGGCGCAAAACTACGTACAGCACGAGTTGGGCGAATTTCAGGGACGACTTCAACGTTGCGTCATGGTGAGCTATATACAATAAATAAAGAGAGAGAGAGCGATAATTGCAACAAGTTTCATTTCTAGCAATGCAACGATGATGTTAAAGTGAAAATGCCACCCAACCCAAACGAAGATCAAATTGCCAAGTTTACGGATCAGTTTGAAAGATGCGCCATACAATGTGTCGACAAGCACGTTGGCCTCATACCCAGTCTAATGAAGACCATGAAATCGGTTCTAGCCAAGGGACCCGACGCCATACCGCAAGTCTAAGCCGAAGTCCTGTGCATATATACACTATAGCATATATGTGGTGTATGAATATGCTATAGTGCATATATGCTGCATTTAATTGTTGAGCTCCCTTTTCTGAAATGTATTGTTAACTAAAAAAAGAACATAAAACCCCTTTAAGCACGCTAATTAAAGCCAAGTTGATGGCACCAAAAACTGAACAGAAAACCTCTTTTATATTATCAAATAAACAATTTTAGCTAAGACACTTGCGGATGCATCTGTAAGGAGCATCAAGCTGAAGAAAGAGTTTGAACAGATAGACTGGCAGTCAGAAAGAGAAGGAAGAGCTTACTATGTGTAAGAGAGAGAGCATAAAAGTTTGGATATACTCGTATAAAACTTAGTTAATATCAGCCTAAACTAGATATTGATGTTTGTCAATTAGCTCTAATAGCTCCAAGTCTCTCTGTTTTTCTCTCTCCTCTTTTATCTTTTTTATCTGATCACTAAAGATCTGTTAAGCAATATAAAAATATATATATGTATGTATGTACATATATCATTATACTGTAAACACCTGAGCCCCAAACAACGTTTGCTTTGCTATTATTCACATCACTGAAAACAATTTATATAATACATAGATTCCAAAAAAATAAATCTAAGAAAATATATATACATACATATAACCAAATACTTATACATTAATGTATATATACAAAGTTTTACATAGTTTCCTTTTCCAAATTCTTTAAATAAACCTAAAAACATAAAAAATATGGTAGATCAACAGAAGCGACGTCTCGAGGGCGCCATTAGCGACATGATCGAGGACATGTATCGCTCTCATCTGCGGCGCATGCAGGTGAGCTCCAAGCGAAATTATGCATATAGACATTTCTATTAAGGATAGAATTTCCTAGTCCATAATGCATCGGTGCGCCGCCACCTGCTGCGACGATGAGCGCGGCACCTTGGACAGCGTTCAGCGTTGCATTGAGAAGTGCGCCTCGCCCCTAATGGATGCCCAGGACTATTTGCAGAACGAACTGGGACAGTTTCAAAACCATTTGCAGGGCTGTGTCAAGGTGAGAGAATTGAATGGAACAAGTGTATAGCTGTATAGCTTAAAGAAGATCTAAGGATGAAGCTATAAAAGGCATCAGATAGAAGAGATCAGTCCTTAAATTTTTGATTATTCTTAAAGACATTTTAATAATAGAGCTAGGAAAGGCTTTAGTTATATTTCTATGCAAGGCCTTGTCTAGGTAAGAGAAATACATTTCTTTACCTGTTGGGAAGAGATGCAAGATAACCTAAGGATTGGGTTAGTAAATATAGCTAATATATTTAGGGATACACTATATGGAGATTTTATTACCATTAGCCAAGCAGTGTCAGAGTGAGAGAACTGAACAGGAATAGATATCGTATACTCTAAACTTATAGATTAATTTTTCAGCTTTACAATAGATATAAGTAAAATTAAAGATCGTAATAGCTTATGAGAACAGGTAAAGGAAAACCCCCTTTCAAACATTATCAATATACTCTGCACTATATAGTATATGAATATATACTGAGTGTATGTTCATGCCCTAATAATTCCCCTAGGAATGCAATAGCGATGCCCGTTCAAAGCTGCCCAGCAATCCCAACGAACAAGATATGTCGCGATCCAGACACTTGTTTGAGGTGTGCACCGGTAACTGTGTGGACAAGCACATCAATCTACTGCCCGGTCTGATGAAGAACATACAGAAGACACTCGACAGGGGTGCGCCGAAGAGATCGCATTTGCGTGATCAAAAGAATGTCTAAAAGCAGATGAAACGATCATTGATCAGCGAGCAACGATCATATCATATCATATCACATTGATGATGGCAGTACAAATTGATGCTTTGCTTGGGGTACATACAATCAATGATCGGCGATTGATCGCTCGAATCGAAGTTAGGAAACCAATTCGATTTCTTTTATTTCTATCTATTTTCTGGTTCTTGTGAATGTGTCTATATGAATTAAATCGAATCATATAAAGGAAAACCAAGCCGCTAACTCGTGCTAAATTCTAATTCTCTATATGTACGTGGCACATGATAACCATTGGGGGGGGTTCAAGGCGCCATAGATAAGACTTGTTTTTTAGTTTAAATTGCTTTTGTTATTTAGTTAATGTAACTTAATTTAATATTTTTGGTATAGCTAAGAGCTTAACAACTAATAATAGGAGACTTAAATATATATATGAGTATATACATATATCTATGTATGTGTTTAGTCTACTGCTCATTGGCTTTGTTGCGTACGCCGTATTTACTCCAGAACGTAACCTTGGCTGGAATCTTCTTGCCATTGCTCTGGAAGATGTTGCACATGTCGAAGGGCGGACAGTAGAGATGCAACGAGACCGAGGTGTCCGTATGGCTGGGATTCTCCACGCGATGCAGCCCCAAGTTATCTGAAGTGGATTAAAGGGAAACTGTTTGGAAAAAACCCGACTTGATTGGGGCAGTAGGTGAGGCACTCACCATTTATATAGGCCACATCATTGACTGGTATGGGCTTATCGCCGATCTCCACCAGCTCGTGATCGTTGATGTGCTGGTGATCCTGCTGCTGCTGCTGCTGCTGTTGCTGCTCCTCATCGCCGCCTCGGTTCGGATACCGATAGCGTTTCTCTCGCAGCTCACCCTTCAGCATCTTCATGAAGCAATGCGAGTCCGCATGATCGTGCACCGATGAGCTGTGACCCTCACCCCAGCAGAGTATCAGCAGATTGAACTTCCCGTTGCCGGCATCGACCAGATTCCTCGTGTACGTGTAACGATCGAATTTTGCATATTTACGCCATTCCTTGGGATTTGATTTGTAGGCGAGCATCAGATGATTCACCATCTCAATGTTCACATAGTTTGCGTCGAATTCGCGATGCAGCGCGGATATCAGATCCGGCAAACTATCCACGGCGGGTCCAAACTTTAACGGTTTCTCCAGCGCACAATAGTAATGCGTCGCTTGGCGCAAATATTTCTCCTGATCGATATTATCGATCTCCCCATCGATCTTGGACAAAGCCATTTTACACTTGCTTTGATTTACCTGAGATTCAGAGATGTACGAATTTTCTGTTAATCTAATTGCCATATAGACATACATATATACCATATAGATTGTCTATGATCAATGGAAAATTTCTGATTTATAGTATTTTAATCGCTGTAAACTTACTTCTTGATTGATTTAAATGAATTGAGTGTTCGTGATAGAGTTATCAATAGCGCTATTGAACTATGCTTAGAATCAGCTCTGGCTTGATTTTCTTTCTATATATATATGGAAATATATTGCAATGTAGTTGCTCTCGGACCACTTGGCTCAACCGACTGATTGCGAATGCGTCTGTCAGTCAATAAACCGAATATTTTCTTATAAAGAATATATACGTAGGCTCTCACCCCTGGCTCTTATCTCTAAAATGAGTCTTACGAGCGATCTCTGAGCTATGACCATGTTTATAATATATGTTGCCAGGAGCTCAACATCTGGCATGGGCGGCAGCCTCCGCCTTCTCCGAAACCTGAACAAAAATCACCATTTTTGATTTGGTATTCTCCCAATTCCATTTCACTGATAAGCCAAATGTCTTCAAACTCTTGTTGTTTCGACTGACGCATGCCATCTGATCATGTATTGTCTATATATACATATGTATATGCATACATTGTTATTATATATTCCTTATACATATTGTGGGTATTCACTGTAGCGAGTGACTTAGCCTATCAGTTGATATTTCTATCTGCGTCATTTCTAGAATCTTTTTCTACGGATTTCCTCGGCTCAAGAGTCAAGCCCCATTTTTTTTTTATAACATATTGTCTTTAATTTTTTTTTTTTAGCTAAATAGTTTCAGATTGAGAAAGGCTTATGAATGAAGAGCTGTATAGTAACTGATATAGATATAGAAATAGGCATATATGACTATATTTATAGCTACAAAGCTCTGCCTCTTAGCAGATTGAAAAACACCTTACATAAGCTCACTTTATATGAAAACAAAGTTTATTAAACGTGTCTATTCATAGATAACGTTACTAAATACAAAACACGTCAGGTTTAGGTTTACAAAAATAGGAAATAACGCCTCTAATGATACGAAAATAGCACTCGAGGGCTTAGTTAATAGAGAGAACCGTATATATTTTAAGGTATATGAATCTGCAGTCTTAGCTATATGAGGGAGTATCAGAAATTGCATACCTAATCTCACAAAATATATACATCCTCGGCAAACTGCAATAGAAACTCTGTTAAAGCTGAGCTCAAAGTGAAAATAATAACCAAAAATTTTCTAATTGTGTTAAATATTATTTAAGCACCTAAGTCTATTGAAAATATTTATGAATTTCCATAATTTTAAACCATTCTATAGGCTGTACGCACTCTGTATGTAAGCCACGAGTCCCGCTTAAGCATTTTAATGAGCCTATTAAAAACACTTGAAATTGAAACGTGCCTTCATTGCGTATAGTGAAGCTTAAATTAATAGATTTCTTTATGCATATGTATATGAATGGTCATTAAATGCTGCCACGGCTATAGCTATGGCCATTAGCCAATTTTGAAAGATTTGAAGAAAAAACACAAGAGATTTTGCAACGATTTTTTTCAAATGCAAAACAACTTTCGCAACGAGTTACGAGAAAGAGCAACAAAGGAAACTGCAATTAGTGAAAACTAACTGTGAATACTCCATAAAATTGATGCAGCTCATAATTAACCAAAGGTATTTTTATAACTTTCAAAGGATTTGAATTTAAACTGTATGCAAAAGTTCGCGCTTACCATATTGTTTTCCTTTGTGTTAAGACTTTTACTGCCAAACGTATTTAAAAATATAATTTTAGTAGTATTATGCACTGCACTGCAACACTGTCTTCAAACTCTGGCCAGCTGTATGCGCGCTCGGCTGTTTTCTGTGCGCATTTTGGATATCTTTCACCAATTTATGTGAATCCGTTGGCCCATACCAAAACGTCACTGCGTTTCACTCAAAACGCAATTTGAGTGAAATGCTATGGACTCGATTGGCATTTTGAGCGCTTTTCAAGGCATCGTTGACGTCGCCGTCGCTGTCGCTGTCACCGCCGCCGGCTATGGCAGCCATTGCTGCTGCTTGCTGCTGTTGTTTTTGTTATTTGCATATTTCTTGCTGCTCTTTCTTCGTATTTGTCTACGTTTTTTTTTTTTTTGTCACGCTGAGTCGCGGAGTTATTGTTGCTGCGTCTGCTGTCAGCTTCGGCTTTGTTTGTGTTTCGTTGAGCCATTGTTGTTGCTGCGTTCGCCTTTAACAGATATTAATTATGTAGACTCGCTGCTGCTGCTGTTATTGTTGTTTTTCGATATTTGCAGAAGAAAGCAGTTATCATCGACTCAGTGGGTAGCCAAACCTTAAGTGATTAACCGTTGCTGTTGTTGTTGGTTTTTGCCTAGGGTCAAATGGCGTTTGAGACCAACATTATGTGTGTCAAGTGTTTTGTTATTGTCATTTTTGTACATTTCATGAATGTTAGCTAAAAATCAGGTAACGTTAAAACTGTTGCACACGTGTTTGGACTTAAGGAAGCAGATCCTGCTGATTTCCAAAATTAAATTTTCCGTAATCTGTTTTTAATCCATTTAACCTTAAGAACAGCATTCGCCATTTAGCATGAACCCGCATGTTGACCCGCTTTCTTTCTAAAATTCTTACCTGTCGGAGTTTAATGAACTTGACATTTGATTTATGGTTCTGATTCTTGATAGCTCAACAGGCTTATCAATATTCAGCAAAAAGAAGAAAGCAAAAGAGCAAAACAAAATATTTTACATGTAAAAAATTAAGAACTAAAATAGCAAATAGAAACAAGTATTAGAAAACAAATATTGTCGTCATTTCTAGGGCAAAAATAAGAAAAAACAATAACAAGACCGAATTTTCTGTGAGATTCCACTGATTCACAATCATATGAAAGTGTCATAAACAATATTCTTATCGGAATATGTAATTTAATTAATTTTAGTGAGTGAATAACAGGAAATCAGTTCTGTGTAATACAAGTATATTTATGTATGTATGCACATATAGCAATTAATATGACATTTTAATGTTTATCCGCACTAAGACAAACTTTGAACTCTCTATGTAACTCTTATACCAAGCATAGATAAGTTCTGTATATGAGCTGTTAATAACATTCGTTAACATTATAACAGGATCAATTGATTTATATGACGATCTGCTCTACTGCCTACTCATTAACATAAACATAACAGACAAATAATAAATGGTCTGTTATTAAATATTGAATTACTGTATGGCAATTCTTTGTTATATATTATATTATAATTTAAATTGTAAAACTATCATAGTATTTAGTCTGATAGAAATAAGCTCAACATACGTATATTATATTTAAAATGACATATATTTCAAACGACATACATAGACTTGAATACTTATAAAAAAAAACACATACTATACTTAAATTATAAAATTGGTGCTAAATAAATGGATCTTTAAGCTTAAATAGAATAGAAAATGCATATTGTTCATCAAGATAATAATAACTAATTATCATCATCATCATCATTGTCGGACATATCAAACTCATTATCATCAAAGTCAATTATCTGGAATTATTAATTAAACAGACACAGATTAAGCTTTAGACTAATCTAATACTTAACTTAGTACACCTACCTCACTGTTAAGTCGCTTGAAGTCGGAAATACCAGTTAGATCCTCCAAGTACTTGGCCGTTTCGAATGTTTTGAATAGAAATTCGTGACCCTCGCTGCGATAGGCGGCCAAAACACGCTAAATATATACATATAAATATATATTTATTATATAGACATATTGCTCGATATATTTATAGAGATTTCTCACCTCCGAGCAGGCAATGCACTGCGCAAACTTCTGCGTGGCTGGCAAAATGTTCTCATAATTGCACAGCATGCCGCGTATGGAATGGGGCAAGATGCCCAACAGCCCCTCCGGCTGTTGTACCTCAGTCGTCTGCTGGCGACTGTTCGCGTAGTAAGCGGGCGCCAACTCCCTCAGCGGATGCTGCAGCAGGGCGACCAACAGCTCCACTGCATAGCTGGCTGCTATGTTCGAGACGCCGGGTCTCGTAACAGTGCACTGTTGATCGAGGGTGCGATCCTTGAGCGACTGTAAATAACAGAGGAGCAAAGTTTAAATTTAACATGAGAGAGGGAGAGCGAAAGCGAAATGATAGTTTATTCTCATCTAAAATTTAATGCAGGAATGCGAAAGCCGGCAAGCGGTAATTATAGCTTATCAGAACTTCGAAAAAGCTTGTTCATTTAACTCCAATTATATCTCAGAATAGTGATTCAGTTTTATTTTAATTCCATTCTAGCTATTTTTAGCTTTTTGTGCTCTGGTAAAAATAGCAACTCTCTTGACAACTCACTTCGCAAAATTCTGTTTACATTTTGTGCGGCCAACTTAACAGCTCATTAGAGCTGGCATTTTCCAATTGGAATTGCGCCTTAAGCTATGTATGCAGCTTGCAGAGCAGCTGGTCAACTACTGTTATTTAACAGTGGACTGCTTGTAATGCGAGTTTACTCACTTTACATGAGTTATGTACTCTTATATCCCATCAGCGCAGCAGCAACTGCTGCATGTTTACAGTTTTTTGGTGCAGTTCAACTTTGTACGTTGCTCCGTGAGCTTTACATTCCACGACGAGCTTTACACCAACAAAAATGACGCCGCCAACCATAGGTAGGGCAGACACACAACACAGCTGAGCGTGCGAAAGCCAAAAACAAACAATACAAAAATAAAGTAAAGTAAAAAAAAAAAAAAGAGTAAATAACGTCAAGAGGAGTGGAAATATGGGCAGGCAAAAAGCAACAGCAACAAAAATGAAGAGCGCTCGAGTGAGCTGCCTGCTGATTAGATAAAAATTATTTGTATGTACATAAAAATTCTAATGAATGCTCAGAGAAGTTGTTAAAGAAATATTGTAGGCATTGAACGCTGCCAGAGATAATGTCGATTCGCTCTGCCCGACGATAAACCCTTAACACAAAATATAAATTCCGAAAATAAGGAAAATTGAATTCTCTAATCAAATTACTAAAATAGTCTATTAAATATGTTAACAGAATATTCGGGGAATTTATCGCATCCGCTGGAATTCGGACATGTGCTGGAAATCGTGGCCAAAACAATCGATGGAGCAGCCAGGTAAATTACACAAAAAATATCTAGAGCCCTGCCCTCAATATGAGTCAAAATTTGTTATCGCCAGTGATGACATGACTAAGCACAGTTTAGCCCTCCCATTGTATAATCAACCATATATAGATATAAATTCTATATTCCAGATTCCATATCAATCTCTGCACGGCCAAGTCTTCGGTGAATCCAGATGCGGACATTGGGCTGCGGTTCTCCTGCTACTTTCGCAATGATATGATCGTGCGCAATTCCCGCATGCACGGCGTCTGGGGCGAGGAGGAGTCCCATGTCGACGACAATATCAATCTGCCCAATCCGATTGTCAGCGGGGAGTTCTTTATGGTCTACATTCTGGCCGCCGACGAGTGCTTTCACATTTCGATCAATAGCCGTGAGTTCTGCACATTTCGATATCGTTTGCCGCTGAGCGCGATTCGTGCGGTCGAGATACGCGATCAAATACAGGTGATCAAACAGGTAGATCATCGCACCGTCTTCCCCAATCCCTGGCCGGCCATACATGCCTCGGACTACTTCAAGGCCTTCAGCAACGATCAGCCGATACTCTACAGTCCCGGCCATGTTATTGTCATCACAGCGCGCTGCTTCGCGAATAAACGTGGCCAATTCATCATCAAGTTTACTGACTCCGACACCAAGCGAGAGGAATTGCACTTTAGCGTGCGATTCGACGAGAAGGCCGTCATTCGCAACACCATGAATAAGAATTTCGAGTAAGTACGCTGTGTAACACTGCATTAGTTGGCATTCAATTGGAAAGTGCTTTTAATTGATGAACCATTCAAATCTAAATGTCAATTAAATCAGCTCATTCTTGTTCGAAATTTAGTGCAAGTATAATAATTTGGTTGTCCAACACTAAAAAAGTGAAGCTTTCGCCGAAACAGTATTCAAGCTTAGAACACCTTTAAACGAAGGTCATTTGGGAAGAGAATCTCACCTAAAGCTGGCGTAATATTCTAATATATTTGATCTCTTCTCTTTTGCAGGTTTGGCATCGAGGAGCGCCATGGCGGCTTTCCATTCGTCTTCAATCAGCAATTTAAATTGGCCTTGGCTTTCACGGAACGCGAGGTATTGACTGCCGTGGATGGGTTTAATTTCTTTAGCTACGCCTGGCGCACACCGAATGCCATGATGAACCTCGTGGGCTTCAAGGTGACTGCAATCAATGGCCTGGTCATTCAAATCACAGGCGTCGATCACGTACAAACGGGCGACACGACGTGCGCAGGATTTGAGAAATACTCGAGACATGATTACGAGTGCGCTTAGTATTTTTTAAGATTTTCTAAAGTAAAAGTAGGCTCTGCTACTATTTACTATAAAAAATATTTTAGTATATGGAATAGAAAGCTATATGGCATATATGTACATTATCCTAGATTGTATATACTACTATTTTCTACATACTACTATATGCCATATATAACTATATACCATATACTACCATATTCAATATGCTACTAAAACTGTATATACTACTAGCTTGTATATATTTATTAATAAAGTCTGAGTTTTTGTTAAACTTTGAGTTTTACTTACATTTCCTGGCGCTGTGACATCATTGCAAAAATAACAACCCAACTGTTGTCCAGTTATGCATTTGAGTCCTTCGACATCCTTGATGCAGTCGCCTGTCAGCTCGCGCGTGCTGCCATGCCGCATGACTAGATAGCTGTCAAAGCCAAGAGCTGCATTCATGACTATCTGTAGAGCATACAAAATATACATCAATATTTGACTGGCTATAGGTCATTATACAATAGAAATTATCTTAAATTCTAGTGAATCTATATGAAGGAATAAAAAATACAACTATTCTACAGCCTCGCCCATTATCTAATATATTCAACGACCATATTTAACCTTTTGATTAGCTGCGCCCAGCAGCGTGGGCAGCCAACGGCTCTCACGTGAATCCGTTAGCAGAAAGATGACATCATGCGCCCGCACCTCCTCCTCGATGCGCTGTAAATGCTGCTCGGTTTGTGGGCGTAATGCCTCGCCCACTGTATGGCCTGGCATGGGTATTTCCAAAATATAACCCTTGGTGACAGCGCTGGGATTAATCTCAAGCAGACGAGCGGCAGCTGTGGTCGCCTTCATGCAATTTCCAGCCACAGCATCTGAGTGCATATAAAGACTTTGACGGACGGGATTCGAATAGCCCACTTTGCCACTGTCCATTAGCGTTATATGCTTGAAGCCCCAGGACTAAAAGAAAATATCATTAATATATATATATAGTATATGTATATGGTAAATGCTAACCAGCAAATTGCGAGCCACAGCACAGCCCAGGGTGCCAGCTCCAAAGAGCAAACACTTGGTCTTTGCAAGTATATCCAAATTCAAGTCGGGAACCAGACGCCACTTCATGAGTTTCAAATTCAAGTTAACCGAATTCTCAGCCAATCTGCGAAGCATATGTTATGTTAGTCACAACACTTATTGTATATGTATGTACGGCGATTACTAACTTGGCTGGATCCATGCTATCCCGCATATTCGCCATGCGTGGTCCCATTTTGCCATTGCGATTCGCTTCCCAGCCAACAAATTGCACGTGTTCATAATTGCATGCCTCCGCCTGACGCACCTCCCAAATCAAGCTATTGTCCAAATGCATTTGCTGATCGTAGCGCAGACCCAAAAATTTGAGCGATTTGCCAATAAGAGTGGGACTGAAATGACCAAGAAAGTGTATTTGAGTTAAATCAGTGTTGAGAAAATTAAATTCACTCGTTTTCGCTCTCTTCGATGTATTATCGATATCGAGTACAATTTGTTAAATGAGTACATATCTAACACAGCTGTAGCTAAAGTTTGAGCGCATTGCCAAACAAAAGTGAAATGGAAAGAGAGTTGAGTTTGAGTAAGTTAAGCTCATCCGACTTACACTCTTTCTCTCTCTCTCTCTGCTTTTTCTTCAGCCAATAGCAAAGCAGCTTGCTTTCGAGCGCACCTGTTGAGCACATTCACTTATTATTTACCATTTCTGGAGCAGCAATGCCACATAGTTGCGCATCAGCCAGGCCGGATTCTCATATTCGCTGGGATCGGCGAAACAGTAAATATAATGCTGCGCCCGCTCCTCATCGAAATCACTCAAAGCAGCGGTCAAGCTGAGCGCCTCGCACACTTTCTCCTGTTCGTTGACATGTAAAATGAAGAAGTTCTGCGCATGCGCAGGCAACACGGAAATAGCTTCCACATAGTTTCCATTATTGGGAATTTCTTTCAGTTTGGTTGCTGGGCTAAGCAATTCCAGTGCAGGTGTCAGGGGGCAGGGAAATGCGAACCAATAGTAATAACTATGACATTTCAGATCCGCGAACGACAGAACAAAGAAGCGCGTCAATAAACTGGCGTCGCTCAAGGCACGGCCACTGCGCATATCATCTAACAGTTGTTTGCCCTCATCTGCCAGCAGCGCTGTCTTATCCAGGGCTTTGAACTCCTCAATTGTATTTTTATTGTAAATATTTCCATGGGCTACATGGCTGAACTTGGGTACCTGCGCTTCACTGTGAAGTAATTAACAGTTAATTGAGTGCTCTTATCAGTCAGCTGGCCACGCAGTTTTACCTATTATATGCGCTGTAGTCGACCTCGAGCAGACAACCGGACGCCTTGCGATTTGTGTAGTATCCGAAAATTGAACGTTTTGTATCGGACAAACGATCATAGTCGAGTTTGAGTTCTGCTAATTTATGCCAAAATGTCGGCGACACAAACGACTCAAAAGGAGCAAATTGTAGAATTTTAATGTCACTCATTGCGTTTTAATTCTGTAGAGCAGCGATGCACACACACGCCCACGCAATGCAAATATAAACAAACAATGGGGGAACAAATGACATTCAAAGGGAACGACATGAGAATGAAATAATCAGCTGCGCAGTGAGCACCACAGCCGATATGAAGACAAATATGAAATGAAGACGGTCACACTGTTAATAAAACTGATTGCGGAAGTAATAAAATTTCTCCATATTATGAGTATAAATTAGATATAGAAGTTAAACTTATATTCAATTAAAATAACTACATGATTCATTCAAACTGTCAAATATATACATGCAACTAAAATTGATTCGATGCCGACATACGTGCCTCTCAAATTTAACGATAGTTTCACACATCGATATTCACAGAAATATCGTTGAGCTCGCCACCCATAGCAGATAACCGATAATACCGTCGATTGTCTTGCAGCACGTCGGACTGGTGGTAGTAATTTTCGCAAAAAAGTTGCCATACAGTCAGTAATTTATAGAGGTTAGTACAATAAAGACAGAGAAAGTTCACAGCCTACTAATATTAATATACTTAATTTGTAAATGGACAAAAGCTAAAGTGTGTAATATTGGTTTGAATTGTATTGCAAAGTGTGCTAAGGTTATAACAACGAGTGTTGAACAAAAAAATTAGCCTCAAAAATTTTTCCATGATGTACGATGTACATTAGGAACGTCCTCGTTTCAGCTTCCTCGCTCACAGCAGCAGCAGCAGCAGAAAATTCACGTTGAATCAATAAATGTGTAATAATGCCGCACTATTTCGTCCCTAAATTGTGAATTCGTATAGCTTGAGTTAAAGAAAAAAGTAAATGCGCTGCATGAAACTTACAAAGAAATCGAAATCAAAAAAAAGAAAGAGAAAAAATGATTCACTCAAAATACAAAGAAATGTATTTGTATGTATGTATGTCTGTATGCATATACATATGTGTGTAGGTAGATAGAGCGAGAGAGGAGCAGCAGCAGCGGCAACGTCAAGTGCTAGCAAACAAAATGGCGGCGGCAGCGGCACACAGCGGAAAACTGATGTTGACGTTGCTTTGCTGCATGCTTCTGTCTCTCTTTCCTCTCTTTTCTTTGTTGAGTTTTGAGTTTTTCGATTCGCTTTCAATGCAGCTTCATTTTGATTTTCCGTGTGTACGCGTTTTATCTTCGAAAACAGCCACACACGTTTGTACGCACACACATGTAGCAGCATACAAACACAGCTGAGTGTATGCGTGTGTGCACTTTGTACGATGTGCATGACGAAAGCATTGAAAAAAAAAGAGAACAAAAAGACTAAAAGAATAAAAACTAGATGCAAGGCAAATTGAAAACAGGCCGGGTTATATGTAGCTTTAGCAGAAAACGAGGGCGGGTCATTGGATTAAATAGAGAGTAATTTACGCGTTTGCCAACTAAAATACAATTTTATATCTCTGCGAATGTATGTGTGTGTGTGTGAGTGTCATTGGAAATGGCATCAGGTTTTTTCTAGTGGGATTTACTTGAACGGTTATGCACGACTCACTTGAATTGAGGTCAAAATCATCCACAACTGGGTCTCTTTGTCGCGGCATCGGGTTTTGGTTCGTTCGGGTCGGGGTCGTCGACGTCTTTGCGCTGCAACGCTCAAGAAAGGGCGGCAATATGTATGCGTACTCTTTTTTGGGGTGGTTTTACACTTTGGACACTATTTGGGGGGTGCTTGGAAGGCATTTAAATGCAGCCACACGTACACACGTATAAACCTCGGCATACATATATGGACTAAATGCAAATCAGGCTTCAGGGTTGCTTTGGGTGGGGAGCTTTCAAAATGCAAAATCTTGCTTAAACTTTAGCAACTCTCAAATTGTATGCGAGTGTATGTGTGTGCTCTCTTTGAGGGAAAATCGCATAAAGCAAAAGTGTAAAATTTACCATCCATATGTGACTCATGGCGCAGATGCGAAATAATTTGAATGTTGTTTTTTTTTTTCTTGTGTTTAAGCTAAGCACCGCTAATCAAAAAAACAACAACACACCCATTTAGTACACTTTTATTGGGGTCAAGAGACTTTAATTCGATGGCGCAGAACGGAAACTGCGAACCAACGAAAGCTCTAGCAGAGGCCAGAAACCTCTATACATACACACTCAAACTCATACATTCGCAAAGGCACACGCACACACTCAAAGGACACTGACACTGAGAAATTTGCTCGCTTATGCGCAGCAGCAGCGTCTAGCGAAATGGGTACACACATACATACATACACGCACGCTTGAATATGTGCATGTGTATGTGTGTGAGTTTTTGCGAGATACGTGAGCATCCACACATCCCAGTTTGAATTTTTATACACTTATGCCCATACACTTACATACATATGTATATGTATGTATGTACATAGAGGAGGAGTTCAAACTTGGCAAACAGAGCGCGCGCAAACAAAGAAAAAGCCAACAAAGAACAAAAGCGAACGACCTGGCCGACCAGTTAGTTGCCCCACTCAATTTGTTCGCTTATTAAAATCAATTTAAGTGCATTAAAAAAACTGTGTTGCTGTATATTGAGCCGCTCAAGTAATTGCATTAATAATATGTACATTCATTTCATGAAATGCACTGTATTTGCGCATTGTAATGGTGCTGCACGGCAACACTGGCACGTAGATGTACAGCATATGTACATACAAACATACATATTGAAATTTCCCCAAGTTGAGCAGAGAACGCAGTTATCGTTTGTGTATTTGTGTGTGGCGCTCAATTGCGTTGCGTCGTGTGTGGGGGAAAAGTGAAATAAACTTGAAGGTGTTTTACGAGGTTATTTTCATTAAAATTCCAGTTTTAGACTTATGATAGTTTGCCATTGCCAACGGCAAGTGTGCCAGCGAGCATTGTCAAACTACCGTTATTTTTAGTAGTAAACCAAAGCTTTAAATTCGAGCGTAACTGAGCGAAGAAAACGAACAGCTGTACCCCGAGCCATAGTAAGAGCCAGAGCAGCTTAATTAACACTTATGGGGCATTTATTAAATTCCCCACAAACACACTCGCATTCTTATATGCAGGCATAAGCAAATGAGAGAGCCTGTGTGAAAAGTAATTTCAAGTGAATTCGATTTACAGATTTCTGTTATATTTATTATTGTTATGAATCCGCTCAGTTTTCATTTGCACATTTGTCAGTATACGCTTGTACAATATATATTTGGACCATATCACACAACTTTGTCTCGTCAATATATATTTTTGTTTGTTCATATTATTTGAAAACTGTTACTAATCCCACCTTTAGCATATCAATATCGCTTCTAATTAGAATTTTGGCACGACCTTTTCTCATTTATCAACAGGATTCCTATAAGCGTAAGCGGGAAGCAGCAACGGAGCAGACAATATCCGATTAGACAGGAATCTATCTAACTATACAAATTACATAAATTAAAAACAAACAAATATAAATAAAACATCTGGCAAAGCGTACGCAGAAACAAATATCGAAGGAGACGTAGCAGAAGAGAAAGACAGATTTTAGGACAAAGCAACCGAAGGGAGCCCCATCAATTATCAAGCAGCTATACATATACAGCTTAACATATATATTCACATATATATATTTATATATCGATATATATATATATATTTTTGTGTGTGTGTCTCTGTGTGCGTGCGTGTCTGTGTGTACTATACAAAATTTTTGTTTTGTTTCGCGTGTGTTGTGTTGTATAACACCACACAGGGAGAGCACAGAGAGCCAGAGCGAGAGCGAGAGGCAGATCAAAGAGGATCGACATACCAAGTGCACCGTTAACCAAGAGCGTGAGCGCGCTAGGAACAGCGAGCCCCTCCTGTGAGACGAGAACCCACGAATTAATTTTTTTTCGCTCCCGAGTCGATAGAGAAAAATTATCACCATTCCACTATCAACGTACGACGCCGCTCCCCTTTTGCACACTTACGACGATAGTCCGCAGCGTTGGGCTAACGGTACTAGCAACGGGCATCAGGCAGGCGTCATCATAGATCAGTTCCGCCACAGCGCCAAAACGATCACCATTGAGGGAGGCACCAGTACCGGTGACACGACGAGCATCGGCGGCGGCGGCACCAACACCAGCAGCAGCGTCAACAGCAGCAGCAGTGGGTGCGGCACCGGCAGCGGCGGCGTCAACGATTTGCGTTTGATAATAACGTCGTCGAAACCAAACGATATTATCGAGCGCAATTACGAGCAATTGAGCAATCGCGGCGGTGGAGGCGGAGGCGGCGGCGCCGTTTTAGGCGTCACCAGCAGCAGCAGCAGCACCGGCAATAACGGCAGCGGCGGTACCGGAGGCCAAACACCACCGACACCACTATCGGCATTAACAACAACCACATCGACAACACCAACAACGGCGTCAACCATTGGCCAGAAGACACTGCTGAATACCAGTCCGAATCTATTGCCCATCACCACAGCGACCGATACGTTCAATAATCTCAAGAATCTGGTGAAGATTGACAAGGGCACAAGCAGCAACGGTGCGAACCACAACGGCGGCAATTATCGTGGCAATAAATCAATTGGCGGCAACGAATCTGGACTGAGTGGTCGCAACGGTAGCCGTTCAAGCACTGGTTCGATCACAGGTGCTAACTCATCGGGCACTGGCGGAGTTGGAGGCGGTGTAGGAGGACAGCAAATTGGTGGCCCTAGCGGACACTACTCCAGTGGCTATAATAAGAATACCGTCAAAATTCGTCAACACGATTCGGAGCTAAGCCCAAGGCCTCGACGATCATATCAAAACGATTCGTCGTCGTCGCGTTACTATAACAAAAATAGTGACATTTTGGGTGCAGCGACTGGCAATAATAATAGCGGAGGCGTCGGCATTGGCGGCTTGACTAACGGCAGTCAGCAGGCAGCTGATAGCAGCAGTTATAACGGTAGTCTGGGAGTTCATCGTGGTAGTCGCAACAACTATCACTCGAGCTCCTCCGATGGCGTCAGCTACAATCGAAATCTAAACACAAACTCCTCGGCGGGCGGCAACAGCAGCGGCAGCAGCTATCGCGCC